TATTATAATACTTGAATTTTCTATTTTTTAGTAATCTCGGTTAAACAATCTTCATAATTTAAAATTTAATCAATTAACTTTGGTTGATTTTAAGGTTATTAAATTTTTAATATTAAAAATACCATAGTTAAAAATTCGTTCTATGGCAAAAAAAATAAGTTATAATTTTCTCCAAGAATTTGATAAAATTTATTAATTATTATAAACATTAACTTTGTAATCTTATTATTTTCTCTTCCAATATTTGAACTCTCCATTTTTATTATTTTTGGTCAAGCTTTCCTTATAATTTATGAATTTGTAAACTGAACAACAAATTTATTATTTTTCACTAACTCAGTTGGCAATTTTTATTTCAATTTGCATCTACCTGGCCATGTCTGCTGACAATAAACTATAACCGTACCTATTTGACAGCTGTGCCAACCAGGTGTTATGGAATGAAATTTTAAACAATTTTATTACAGAGGGGCCTATAAATTGCGAAAATAAAACAAAAAAAATAATAGCCGACTTTACAGTTCTCGTTAGGGTATTTTTAACTTGCATACATAATAGTATGTACATACGTACATGCACATTTACTTCCCCACGTGCATTGTGATAATATGATGTGAAGTGGGAGTCGAAATCTTTTAGCAGATGTGCAATCTCCTTTAGGCAACAGGCCTGAGCGATTGTCACTCCGGCTGAGACAAAGTTAAAATGATAATTTTTCAAGGTTCTCATAATTGACTTAAACATTGTAACAACCTTCATTTGTAGGTTAAACTGAGGTGTACCATTAATAAAAAGAAGTTTGGTCAAACAGTTAATAACATACATGTATAAATATTCATAACAACTTCCCAAAGCTTTTAAATTAGTTTTACAAAAAAAAGGCTTAACCTTTATTTACTTTTATCAACAATTATTTACCAAAAGTCGTGTCGTTGTAAAGAAATGCAAATATATACTTACATACTCACATCAATATGTGACTTGCTTGTGTGTACCTATGGGAAAATATATGTATGTATGTATATGTACAAACATGCTTCCAGATAGATAGTAAAATTTAAAAACGAAAAACTCAGTGGTGTTGTAAATATTTATGTACATGTATGTATGTAACAAAGTTCTTATCTTCATATAAAGTTCTCGCAAACAAACTCCGCACACAAATTATAACGTATTATTTTTGCGCTTCAAACACATTAAGCTCATTCCAAGAGGTCTACTAGATACATTTAAAATATATTTTAATATGCATGGAGTACACACAAACATACTCTCACTCCAAATACATCTGCCTATTTTAGTGGTAAACAGGAGAAACGAGCTCGCTGTATGCCAAGCAGTAAGACCAGTGGAAATTCATATTATATTTAAACAAGTATGTATATATGTATAAGTAAGTGCGTTTACATGCATATTTTATTAATATAACTTTTAAGTTTATTGCTTTGCGCCATTTTGTTACTATCTACTATTTTTATTCTAATTTGTCTATGAAGTCCCTGCCTACGGACAGCTAGCACGTATGCACAAGCACACACATGTACACCGTTGCATTTATGCACCAGTTTGCAGCGGAATGCAACGAGAGTAGTATAGAACTGACTACTCACTTCTTTGGACTCGACGAATTTCTACAGCAGGTAACTGACTGAGAGCGATGTGCCAAGCCAGCTCGCAAACACACAAATAACGCTTATCATATACATACATACATGCATAGATACATATGTATATATTTCTACACCAATACTAAATACATATGTATATGTACATAGCTATATATGCTGTCAAAGATCTAGAGGCTCGAGCGTTTTTGCTGGCGGTTAGTAAGCCTTCAGCAGCCAAACGATCAAGTTGGTTCTTTCGAGTGCAGACGCATTAATTAATACAGGAAAATCAAGTATATTGAAATAAAAGAAAATACGTACAAACATATAGATATACACATATTTAGAGTTGAAGAAAAAAGTGTATAAATTAAACAACAAAAAAAAATTGTGAGGCGCATAAAAGACGTAAGTGTAAACAACGGTAAATTACAAATAAAAAAGATATAAAACAATGACGTTAAGCAACTAAAGTAAACGCGACCTTCTTAATACATATGTAATCTAGTTTATGAAAAATATAGTGTGAATGTGCCGAAAGCAGCGGTGCAGCAGTGGTTTTTTTCTGTTTCCTACTAGACAAACAAACACATACAACGTTTAAACATACTTGACCGAGTTTTGAACCAACAACAAAGCACTTGAAATTGCTTTAACTTGTTTTCTAAGTCACAAATGTTGAATATGCGTGTGTATTTGTACATATACATACATTTACATGCATATTCAGCGATAAACACGAATAGCTGTATGTTTGTGTATGCATGTGTGCGGGTTTGTTTGTTGCATGGCTTAATAATAAGTTGTTGCTGCGTAAAGGTGCACTTTTGAATGGGCAAGTCGTGGAAAATTATTTATATTCATATTTTAATATAGATTTAATTGCGTAATAAATATACGACAAGTCAAAATACTAATTTAAATGCAAACATGCAAACACATACACATACATATGACTATATGTCTACATACATACATACATGCATAGGTGTAGAGTACCTTTATCAGTTGAATGTTTTGATCCGATTGTCTGCGCGATGGGCTTGTTGTTTATTAAAAAACCGGTCTGCTCTGTATGTGGTTGTTGTTGTGAGGTTTTGATGTGCCTTTTGCTTTTTGGGTTTTGTTTATGAGATTTTAATGAGAGAGAGTTAAATAACTGCATTCAATACAATGTTTTATTCGTGTGTCTATCTTTGGGAGATTGCAGGTGCGCCCAGTGGGAAAGTAATTACACTTTTTTTTTTGAAATTTTTGGCTGATATTTGTAGTTAATTAACTTAAAGAAAAATTAATATTAATTTTTATAATTTTGATAAATAATAAAACATCAACAATTACTTCATACTTAGACTTTTTGGCTATTCGTGGCGTTTATTTTGAGGTTATGCTGAAAAAGTTGTTGCTAGAGACTGAAAAGCAACTAAAACAATTTATTGAGTTAATATTTAAAGGTAAAGCTTTCTCTTTTTATAAGTTTTACTTCTTGATTTCAAGCCAAGCGTTTTTAATTCACATTTGTAGAAGTCTTCAGTTTTTATTTTGAAATAATTTGACACTGATTCTATGGAAAAATATATTATGTACATAAGTATGTTACTAGTTGGGAAAGCGGTTCAAATACAATTGGTTTATTTTCACTACAAATCACTCTTAAAGTGGAGGATACACCTTCTAATTTATTTAAAATATAACTCATTTGCTGTATTTAGAGGAAATATTATATATTTAATATTTATACCATTTAACAAATTTAAAATCTTGCACAATTTGCTCTCCTTTTTACACCCCATGAACCCCAAAATTATTTTGATGTAAAGTGGACGTAGTCAGAAGCTTTTCTCACCCTAGAGAAATACGAAATGGCTATATGCTAACCTACAAGCACAGTGTTTTATTCATGTATGTACCTATGCACCTTCTTCTGAGAACGTGCCATTTTTACAACAGGGCATGAATGAATACTCAGCCATTCGCTGGCGCTCTGCAACACTCCTATATACATACGTATGTTTAAAACCTGTATACATACATAAGTATGTAGATATATGTGAAAATAAATAGAGAAACAAATTCTCCAAAAACGCCATCTATTAAGAGTGATGGAGGCAAGAAACTTGTATTTGGACTTTGCACCTTTGTGAACAACAAATTAAGCGCAGTAACCGTAACGGCATATGTGTGTTAGAATACGTCTGTGTATGTGTATTGATTCAGTGGGGAAAAAATAAATAAATATTTTTCAATTTTATGATACAACAAACAATTGAGCAATGTAAAGCACGTGTATGCATGTATATACATATGTGCATGCATTCGATATTTTCATAACAACTACTTTTTTTCCAAACGCAATTCTATTTATCAGTGTAATTAACGATTTATTGCGAGTAAAATAATATAATCAATACAGGAAATATGGAAATATTTAATTATTAATTAATACAGGCAAATCAAGTATATTGAGATAAAATTGAGAGTTGAAGAAAAAAGTGTATATAATTGTATGCAAAAATTTGCAGTGAAAAATACATACATACATACATACTCATATGTATACAATAGTATATTATTATAATATAAATATGTATGTATTTATGTATGCGTAAGAAATTAGATTAAACACTTTAAGTGATCTCTAAATGGGTCAGAAATGATAAAGGCATTGAGGAATTAGAATGGAGTGTAAAAAAAGTGAGCATCATAAATAAAAATTAAGCTGTTTTAGTTACCGAAATTCATGCGTTGTCATAAAACTACGCTCTCTAGCATAAATATACATATACATACATATGTACATATCTAAATATGTATCTATTCTATTTCAAATCAGCTGTTTATGAACTATTAACGTCTCACGTGCTGATAACAGATACTATATATTTAAAAATATCGCTGATAAAATATTTATTTAAATTGCACCTAGTAAAGTATAGCAAAAAATTAGGGAATTAAGTAAATTTTAAGGTTAAAAATATAGCAAGTATAGCAAAAATTAAATAAATTAAAATGAAAGCTACATACCGCATATCCTATTAAATCCGGTCTTCAAGTTCCGTTTTTATAAAACAACAAATAGTAGCATATATTTCGGCGCATACAAACAACTATCAGCTTTCCTTACCACCACTGCTAAAGCACCGAAATTGTATAATTTCGAAATAACGGTATTAAATTATATATTCTTAATTATATCAATATTGGCAAAAGTCTTTACAGCACATAGTGGTACCAAACGTTTTAATTTAAAATATAAATAATAAAAAATATTAATTAAAATATAAACGTTTAAAAGATTTAATTTAATTTTTTTTAATAAAATCTTACTTTTCCAAAATAAAAAAAAAATTTTTAATGTACCTGATTCGTAAAAGGTCGGTGAAAGTTGTTTATATTATTAGAGCAAGGGATCACTTATAGTTTTTGGGTGAAAATTTTGAACTTAGAATCAAAGTTGACTAGTTGTTATAACAATGAATAAAAATGTTGTTGTTGTAAAAGTTGAAATGGATTCATTTACCAATCCGCTTATAAAATGTCAGTATGTAATGCATACATACATACATACATACAGTATTAACTGCTTTATTTTTTCGTTTTATTCTACAGATTGAAATTATTTTGTGAACGGCTTAATTTGCCTGTACAATGGCTGAAGCCCACTCAGCGGTGGCATTTTCCTTCGCCATCACCCACGAAGGCTTCGACATCAACTATGACCAGGAGGTACTCAATCTCGTCTGGAATTCAGGTGTGCGTTCGTGGAAGAAACGCATAGCACGCGCACGGGTAAGTCTTCTACGCACTCTCTTCACTCGTACGAATTTTACAAAACCAGCGAAATTTCTAATTATAGAACGGTATACGTAACGGTGTCTATCCGGCACACATACAAAGTTTATGGCTCATTACGGCCATTGCCATGGGTTTGCATTTCTCTGGTTTTGCAGTGCCATTCGATCTCGTACATCGCATTTTGGTGCATCTACCAGCCAATACAGTTAATTGGCAAGTGACGGCGTGCTTTGGAGCAGCGCTAATTATTTGGCTCTCCATATGTTTCACAATGCGTTACACGCTCAAATTGCTGCTAATGTACAAAGGTTGGATGTATGAGTCGCGAGCGCCGGGCAGTAAGGTGTCGTTGAAAACCAAAGTGTGGGCGGGAGTCGTTAAAGTACTCTCCAGTTGGAATACACCTGGCCTCTACAGCTTTCAAGGTTCGCTGCCAAGACTACCGGTGCCGGCGTTGCACGACACAATGCAACGGTATTTACGTTCTGTACGCCCATTACTGGATGATGAAAATTACTCGCGCATGGAGGGTTTGGCTAAGGAATTCGAGAGCACAATTGGCAAGAAATTACAATGGTATCTAACATTGAAAAGTTGGTGGGCCACCAATTACGTTTCCGATTGGTGGGAGGAATATGTTTATCTGCGCGGACGTAGCCCTTTGATTATCAACAGCAACTTCTATGGCACTGATGCGATCTTCATGAATTTGACTAATAATCAAGCAGCGCGCGCCGCTAATGTTGTGTATTTGTTGTTGGGATTCAGACGTTTGATCGAACGCCAAGAATTGCAGCCGGTAAGTAATACAGGTTATGCATAATAATATTACATACCATTTCACATACACACTTTACACTTCACATAGATAATGGTGCAAAGCATGATACCACTTTGCTCGTGGCAATACGAGCGCACTTTCAATACGGTGCGCGTACCTGGTTTGGAAACTGACCGCATCGTTCATTATCGCGACTCCAATCACATTGTTGTGCTGCATAAAGGACGTTACTTTAAGGTGGTCATCTATTACAAAGGTCGTATTTTGCGTCCATGTGAGATACAAATACAAATGGAAGAAATCTTGAACTCCAAAGCCACGCCTTTGCCCAGTGAGGAGCACTTGGCGGCGTTGACCACAATGAATCGTTCAAAATGGGCTGAGATACGGAATGCACATTTTGCCCGTGGTGTAAATCGCGTTTCACTTAATCTCGTCGAGTCGGCCGCCTTTGTATTGTCATTGGATGATGAACCCTATGAATTTGATTTGGCACGTCCTGAATTATTGGATAAATTTGGCAAAACATTATTACACGGCAACGGTTACAATCGTTGGTTCGACAAAAGCTTTACGGTCTGCATTGGTACCAACGGACGCGTGGGCTTTAATGCCGAACATACTTGGTAAGTATACTTTATTGTGTAGTTTGTAGTTTTTCAACACATTTCAAGACATCGCAGTTATTGCTATGATACAACTTTCTTGTAACTTGTAAAAATGTTAAACCTTTTAAAAGGGCCGATGCTGCTGTAATGGCTCACGTTTGGGAGAATCTTGTTATGGACGATGCGACCACCAACGGGTAAACAAGATTGCTTTTGTTAACAGTAGAAAAGACATGCTGTTTGAGCAAGTCTTAAAGTTGAACAGTTGTAAAATAATTTTATAATGTAAAATGGTGAAGGTTTTCTATTTTCTACTTTCTGTGCACTTATTTGGTTAGCTTTGTTGACAGTTTACTTTCGAAATTCCCACTTACTACTTTTTAAATGTGTCTGCTTCAACTTTTATTTAAAAACAATTTAAAACATTTTAAAAAAAATATAAGTACATATGTATAAATACAAACAATAATGAGACTTTTAAGAATGCACTTACAGTATTATATGTAGCCCATAATATTGTCTACAGTTACGACAATTTAGTTAATATTAGATTTATATACATTATATATATATTTACTGACCTTAAAGTAAGTTGCACGGTGCCTCTACCTCCAGTGTATATTATTGTAAATTGCAATATGAATTCTTCACAAAAATTGAAATATGACAAAGATGTGGAAACAGATTTCTTCTCAACCAAAGAGTTGTTTCTTCTAATCACTTTGCCTTGTTAGCATAGTTGTAATCAAAAGTCTAATACTTTTTGATTGTATGGACTTCTATTCCTATTCTTTTCATTTACATAAATTTTAAAAATTGCTGACCCCGACTCCCCTGTTTGCTAACTTTGTGCTGAATAAGATTCGTGCTTTGAAATCCTTTTGCATAAACACGTCCAGTATTTAAACTAACTTTATTTCTTACCGTGAAATTAATACCAACTATTTGAACTATTTTATTTAAATACAAATACAGCGAAACAAGCATTTCTATCTGTCAAAAAGAAATGAAAGACAAAAATGGCTGATCATGTCAATTTACAATTTACGTGCATACATACATAGTCATTTGAACATCTAAATTACTCTATTCTGCACAAACCTGCATACATGCAAGCACCTATTCATAGTTACAAATCCTCAAAATTATAGCAGCATTCGTAAAAAAAAACTAAATCGAGCGCTCATAAAATGACAAACATGTGTTTCGACCAGTTATCCGCCGCGTATAACATATTTACAAAAAAAAATTTTTTTTAAGTTAAGCAAGCCTTTAGCAAAAATTATTGACACTTTATATTTGCACACTTCAATACATACCAATTGAACCTATGTAAATATGTATGCAGAAACTTGTTGAATGCTGTTTCAAGTAATATTTTTTTTCAAATATTTTAGGGCTGATGCACCGGTTATGGGTCATCTTTGGGAATATATTTTCGGTGATGATATTTATGGGTAATAGATTTGTGCAGTAACAGAAATGCCATAACATGTTTATATTTGTTTACTAAATGTTCTGTACTCATTTAAATGTGTTTAGTTTTGTGGTTGTTAACATTATGCTTAAGCTCAATTAGTTTGTATTTGTTTACAATTAACCGCTTTCTCATCCCTTCTTATTTGTGTGCATGTGTAATTAGTCAATAGTTAAAAAGTAGTTTGAAAAACAACAAACGTCACTAACAAAAGTGTATTTGTGGTCTACATACTTACATACGTGAATCTTATAGACTTCTGCACATCCAAAATTTATGTTTCACATTTGTTAAATAGTCTAACGTAGCATGCATTTGTACATAAATTTGCTTATTATACATATTAACACTTATTAATGTTTAAACATTAGATATGATGAGGCTGGCAACACAAAGGGTATACCCGAATTTCAGCCACCGTCACCCACACGTTTGAGTTGGGATCTCACGGCTTTGCAACCACAAATTGAAGAGGCGACACTGGACGCTACCAAGCTTATAAATGTAAGGCACCTCATATAAGTACAGCTACAGCTACATATATTAATAAAATTTTATATGTCTAGGATGTGGACTTACGCATTCTTGTACATAACGAGTATGGAAAAGGTTTCATGAAAAAGTGTCGATTATCTCCCGATGCATATATACAAATGGCCTTACAGTTAGCTTACTACCGAGACGCTGGTCGATTCTCATTAACATACGAAGCATCTATGACACGTCTGTTCCGTGAGGGTCGTACAGAAACCGTGCGTCCATGTACAATTGAATCGGCAGCGTGGGTGAAAGCAATGGGAGACAGTAATACAACGGTAAGCGCATAATTTTAGTTATATCCGTATTCTTATACATTTTCTCACATAATACTTTCATTGTTTAAATTATTTAACTCTTTTCTGGTCTTGTCTAGAGCGAAGAGCGCGTAAAACTTTTACAGAAGGCTTGTGATCGTCATCAGTTGGCCTATCAAGATGCCATGTGTGGGCGCGGTATTGATCGGCATCTGTTTTGTCTTTACGTAGTTTCTAAATACTTAGAAGTTGACTCGCCCTTCCTCAATGAGGTATTGAGCGAGCCGTGGCGCTTGTCTACCAGTCAAACACCGCACGGACAAACGCCAAAAATGGATTTGAAGAAACATCCAAACTGTATAAGCTCAGGTGGCGGTTTCGGACCGGTCGCTGACGACGGCTACGGTGTATCGTATATTATAGCGGGCGAAAACTTAATATTCTTCCACATATCAGCTAAATTAAACTGCAAACAGACGGTGAGTTGTGCAGAGTGGAAATTTCATATATTTTTGAAAGTATACATTTTATGTTTTAATTTAGGATGTTCATCGCTTTGGTGATAATATCTGTAAAGCATTGGCCGACATACGTGCAATGTTCGAGGAACATTTTAAAAAGCAAGGAGAATCTAATGCCAAGAACGGGACTGCCTCAACAAAGCCAAATATGGCGAATTTAGTAAAATAAATTTAACTGCATATGTACGTACATACATGCATACTGAAATTATTGTTAGAACTTTTAGAACTTAGTTTTAAGTGTTAAAATATGATAGTTGATTTTTATCATAATTATATTTTTTATATACCGTAAGTCAAAGCAATGAAGTCAAATTATTGATTTTCTCAAAAAGTTAGCAATTTTAAGACGTTATTTTTTAAATTTATTTAAGAAATTTAATAAAACAACAAACAATTTAATAAAAAAAATGGATATATGTGTAAATTTGTTTTTTCAATTGTAATTTCTGAGTCCAAAAATACATACGGATATGAAATATAATTCACAAATACTTTGAACGAGAAAACAAATGCTAGAAACTAAACAAAAATGCGAAATACTATCCATGGCTTAATGTTTTTCTTGTAACGGCCGAGTTGAAAGTCCTTGGCAGGATAATAAGGTTTCGTTCCCGTTATAGGCCCGAATGTCCTGGGAACGTTGCAAATGCTTAATGGTATTGTTGTAACGGTTAAGTAGAGGGAAAAGCATAATATTTGTATACAGTTTTGGGATTAAAGTACCAGCAACTAGCCATTAATTAATAAAGATGTAACATTTTGTTACTTTTATACTATTTTGTGTATTTTGTTTTAGTTTACTACATACAATACATACAAAGTGATTAATGTCGCCTTCTATCCCGATCATTTCGAGAGTCACGGTTGTCATAACGCCGATCTTTATAATCGTCTCGCCTGTAGTCATCTCTATAATCATCACGTCCACCACGATAATTATTTGTTCCACCAGAACGATCATCCCAATGGCGATTACTGCTTGATGCCGAACTGACACCAAATCGATCTCTATCTCTATCGCGTTCACGTTGTCGACTATAATCTTCTAACTCATTATCATAATCACGCGTACGACCAGTTCTTTGCTCACGCGCAGCAATAGGACTACGCGAACGTGAACGTGAGTGATCTTTGCGTGATCTTTTCTTGGAAGAAAACGACGATTTAATTTTGTCATCATCTCGATCTGCACCACCCTCTTCATCGCTAACCACATCATCATCTAAATCCTCATCGAGTGAGGATATTTTCGGTTCCAGTTCATTATTCTCTTCAAGCACTGCACGTTTTTGTATGCGCGGTAATATTATATCACACACACGGTCACTGCGGAGCAACTCATCTATAAAATCATCCATATGAACAATTTCATATTGACCTGCCCTGTTTTGACGGCGGAGTTTACGATTGTCATTATATAAAGGTTCCAAGTACTTATAACAATCCAAAGCACTGCCAGTGAGACTATGAATATGAAAAGATAAATAATTATTTTTCATTACAATTCTTATATTTTTTCAAGAACTCACCGCAAATAAAATGCCCCCAGTGCACGGACGTATTTAAACTCTTCATTCTTTATGAACTCCACCACAATATCTTTTTCTGGTTGAATTTGTAGCATTTTAAGTGTGAGGCAAAGAAATTGCGTTGGCTTTATATTTCCGCCGAAAACACCACCGATGAATCGGAGCTCCATAGCTTTATCCACCAACAGTTCGGCAGTGAGCGCGAAGCACTGTTCCTTCCAATATTTCGAATCATAAATGCGAGAACGTATAATTTTTTCAACAAGATATTGTGGATTTGTTCCATGGATATTTTTGGCTTCTTTAACTGTACGATTTGCCATTATGTTATTAAAAACTCATTCACTTTAGCATCCTAAACTGTTTTAATTTGTGATTATTTTGTTTTGGTTGTAAAGTGTTGCAAGTAAGTTATCGATAACTTCAAATTGACGTTTCTCAAATACTTAACGAAAGCTTAAGATGTATTCACATGAAATGTTGGAAAGACATAACAAGCTACGGGTGTTTTTGTTAATTTATTTTTGATTTAATTAATAGCCCGCAAAAATAATAAATATGTCAGTTACTTCAATTTTTTCATGTGGAAGCAGTTATTTTAATAGTTTTTATGTTTAGATGGTTATTTTTAGAACGGCTTTATGTAGTTCTATCAGTACTAACAGCATATTTGTTTTATTGGTTTTGGCAGCACCGGAAAAATTACGAAGCACTTGGTGAAAAAGAAACCGTTAGCAGATATTTAAAAATGAAAACGTTAGATAAACATGAAGCAAATAAAACATTTAAAACCATGGACAAAAATAATTATAATTTAACTGCTAAACTTAAAACAAAATTAATAAAACATTTACCAATCTGTTTCTGTGCTCTTCAAAGCATATTGTTGCTGTTGCTCTTACTTTGAAAATTGTTTAAAACAGGTCAGATTATTAGCAACTCGCAAAATAAAACATTTAGCAGGTAGCAGTTTAAAATGATAGACTGTAATTTTATGCATTTAAATATAAAATTCCTTAAATGTGCGCGATCCAGGTAATATATTCCAACAACCTAAAATATTTTTCATGACTTCTGTTCTATTTGGAAAAAGATTTCAAGAGCTTATCTTGAAATTGCTTTATTTTAATATACTTTAATCACAAGAACGCAAATATTAAAAAGAAAATATACTTCTAATTGTTTCTGCCGCAGGGTTAGCAGTAGACGTATCTAGCTTTATCTATGTCCTAGTCAAAAAATGTACACACGTCATTATTAAAGCATAAATGTGCTGGCATATTTTTATCACAATTTTGACTTTGTAAAACATATTTACTAAATACAACACTATTCCTGCAAGCGCAAAGTAAAATACAAATAGGCGATATGTGTTTCAAAATTAAAAATTAATATTTTCGCCATTAGCAAGCAATTGGAAATATTATTTGGTAAAGTATGTATGTGTCGATTATTTTACTTTTCCATCTTGTTTCGTACAATAATAGAAACAACCATTGTGCATTTGTTATTTAAATTCAAGTTGCTAATCCATACACAATTCTAACACAATGGTTTAAGAGATTTATAAACTCATCAATTGGCCCAAGCAAGCAACTGTTTCATGTCTGGGTCATTATCTGTAAAACAGTAAAAACATCATTGAATTTTTTTGCTATTTCGAGCATAGGAAAGTATTTACCATCATTTTCCTGTGATGTTGAAGCAGGTGCTGTGGCTTTCTTTTTCTCAGGAATTTTCTCTGGCGTTTCGTCGGCTGGTACATCGGGTAATGTAACATTTGGCTCCGGTATGCCAATAACTTTTTTATCGAACTCTTCTTGTTCTAATTCATCCAATTCACGCTCCAGATCCTCATCATCAAGGTCAGCACCTGCATATTATACATAGAAGTAACCGTAAGCCAAAAAAGATACTTTAATGTTTTTGTTAGTATACGAACCAAAGGCAACTGGATTTGATATAGCATCGGAGATTTCACGGGCAACATCTTGTTGTTCGGCAATATCATCCATCATATCGTGAACATTATCCACATCCCTAGAATATAATAAAAATGATTATTGACAAATTTGCTACAAATTAATAAATATCTGTACTAACATATTTTTATGTGCAGCTTTGAGTGCATCAGCCGCATTTTTCATTGTTGTCAAGACGGCTGTATTTGTATTAGCACTCTCCAATGCTTCGCGCTGCATTTCAATCGTCGAAAGTGTTCCATCAATTTGTTGTAGCTGTTTTTCGAGGCGCTTCTTTTTCTTAAGCGCTTGCAATGCAACTGAAAATATAAAGAAATAAGTATGATGTATTTTAAAATATGGAAATAATGTATAATATGATAGGGGTTTCTATGTTATAATTTGAAATTGTTTAACAATTCATTTCCCTATAAGTGTACGAATACATACATATGTAGCAAGTTTGCCAATGTTCATTATAAAACTTCAGACGATAATTTTAAATTGCCGTGGTGTTTGTTGGTTGGACACATAATAATTGTGCATAAATAATATGTATTGATTAAATAGTTTTATAATTTAACATTACGTTCTAATCATTGTTGGAAATAGATGAATTCCAGAATGGGAAGAATAGTACCCACAGTTGTAGCATTATTTTAAGAAAATGGAAGGAAGAAGACAGAAAAAGAGATGTTTAATAGTCAACAATGAGTCATTTCTTCTTCTCTGTTGACAATTCGTAAAAGATACGCAATTCACATGAACATTCTATAAATGTACTAATGCAGTTGTAAAATAATAATAGTTTTTGTCACTGAAATACAAAATCAGCTCACCTCTTTTGTTTTTCGATGCATTTTTCCTGGCAATGTTCAGTTCTTCTTCTATCTTTGTCTCTAGAAATTCCTGTTTCTTTATAAGCATGTTTTCCGTCTCGCGCAGTTTTTGTATGGCTTCGCCTGTAGTGGGTGCCACTTCCTTTTTCCCACCGAACATTTTCCCGAAGAAACTCATTTTTTCTAAATGTATCCTTTTTACACACTTAAAAATATCAATATCTGGATAAATTTACTAAAATCGCCACTTTTCTGCTCCCTTTCTATGTAAAAAATATTTTCGTTTTGACATTGAGTGCGTCATCCTCATCGTTGCCATATTATTTTATACTCCTTTTTTGTGTTTGTGTCAAAAGCTGACAGGGTTGCCGACATTTATGCCCTACACAATACAATATATGAATATGAATCGAAAATAGTAACATAATACTTGTATACAATTAATGACATGTAAATTATACTTATTTTAAATATTAAAAAATTTGCAAACAAAAAAATAATAAATAAGCATGTTAACTTTTTTTATAATAAATTTATTTCAATATGCTTGTGTAATAATTTTGCCAAATTCAGCATAACATAACATCAACATAATAGCAAAAGTGTTATTTTATTTCTTTAATTCAAATATTTATATTCATAAAAATTACAAATAAACTTTAAATAATGACCATATGAGTTAACGGATAAAAATTTTCAGTTCTTATTGCCAAATGTACGGTAGTCTATCGATAATTAAATATCGATAAATTGATAAACATAAGGTGAAAAACAATAAGTTCTTTATTTTGCCGCACATTTTAGTATCGCAAGTAACTTGTGGTTAATATTGGAAATATAATAATTATTTTTGTTCTTTTGTTACAAAATAAAATTACTTTTATTTGAATAAATTTAGTTTTGTAATTTTTTTTAATAGAAAATGGCAAACATTTCATTAAGTGAAGCAGAGAAAACTTTTATACTACACGGCGTGGAGGTGGTTATTTTTTGTAAATAATAATTGATGTTGTTACGATCTCGAAGTTTGCAGGAAGACTTTCGTTGCGATGGGCGATCACGACGAGACTATCGTCCAATGGAACTGGAAACCGATTTGGTTAGTAATGCCAGCGGTTCTGCCAGATTACGTTTGGCAAACACCGATGTATTAGTTGGAATTAAAACCGAAATTGATAAACCCAATTATTTAACACCAGACCAAGGAAAAATAGAGTTTTTCGTTGATTGGTAATTTCCATATAATAATTTACGTTGTCACAATTTTGTAATTTGTCAACATATATTTAATATATTCGTTATATAGTTCTGCAAACGCTGCACCGGAATTTGAAGGACGTGGTGGTGAGGAATTGGCCTTAGAATTAGCCGATACTTTAACAAATGCATATGAGTCTCCAAAAGCATTTGATTTGAAAACCCTTTGTATACTACCTGGTCAACAATGCTGGAAACTTTTTGTCGATATTTTGGTAAATTCAAGTGTAATATTTTTAAAAAATATTACTCTTATTTTACTTTTGTTTTTAGATTTTAGAATGTGGAGGAAACTTGTTCGATGCAGTTTCTTTAGCAGCGAAGGCAGCCTTATTTAATACAAAAATACCACGTGTGACGGCGGCGCTTATGGATGCCGGCGAAGCCGAATTATTAATATCGGATGATCCATATGATTGTACGCGTATTCAAATTGAAAACTTGCCTATTCTTGTAACAGTGTGCAAAATTGGTGATTCGTGTGTTGTAGATCCCTCAGCAGAGGAGGAAGAGTGTAGCATTGCAAGTGCTGTAGTAGGTGTTTCAAAAAGAAATGGAAAAAGTAAGATTTCAAACTCCAAATTGCTTTTTATACAATTCCTTTTTTTCAGATTATATATCTAACGTACATACAATTGGGGAAGGTTCTTTGCACAAGGATACCATGCAAAATTGCATATTACTGGGCCTGTCAGCGGCTGAAAACTTAAATAACGAGTTGGTGAAAGCATTGGAACTTGAAGAAAGTCGCGTAGGTTCTAAACACCGAAATACCATAGGTTTTCTTAAATAAAATTGCAAAAATATAAACCCAAGTACGCCAATAATTTATTTGAGGCTCTTAATACTTCTATAAACTTTACATAATCATTTTATAATGGGTAATTAGGTTTAATATAATAAAGCGTGTTTCGTTCAGTTCCGCTTTTTGTTTTGTTTGGATGAAATTGGCTTCTTTTCTTTCTCGGGTGGTTTGGCGCTCGAGAAAAACGATGTGATCATTTCGCTGATCTCTGGCATCTCGTTACTCACCTATTCATAGAGTGTACAAATACTAATATATGAACAGATTTGAAGATTTGTACTTACTTTTGGAAACTGAATACTTTCAATTTCCTTTTTGGTCTCTGGATCATTGATCATTTTTGGTAGAACAAGCATAACTAAAAGTGGTAGAACCATCATCAAGACCATTGGATTGAATAAGAAATCTGTGATCTGTTGGTAAGAGAAAAAATTTTCAATGAATGCTTATAAAGTCTCGTAAGTTTTCGCACTTTACCTTCCATTGCTCACGTGTCTGGAAGTACTTGAAACGAGTAAAAGCTTTAAGCTTCAAAGGGTATGGTACTTGAATGATTTGCGAAGGCTGTACATAGTTTACTTTACGAGCGCGGAATTTACCCTTGGGATTAATCTCCACACGTACTGGTTCATAATAAAAGTCGGGGTTGTGTACTTCCAACACATAACTTCCAGATGGTACACTGCTTATAATAAATGTACCATCATCACGTAAAAATCCTTTATATTCTCCACCATTTACAGATATTGAAGTCTCAGATTGTCCTTTGGTTTGTGTCTCTGGAGCAAATACTTTTCCTTCAATTGTAAAAAGGCCAGCTAATTCCTCGCTCAAATCGTCTTGACCAATGACCAATTCTGCATTGCTTATACTAAATAGAAATGACAGAAGCAGCCATAATGTACGATACCGAGTCATCTTCTTAAATTCCCCTATAAATTTCTTCGCAAATTGCTATTATGTTGAATTAAAAATAAATTGTTAACCACATAAAATCACAAGAAAATTGTGGTGATACTTCAATTGAATGAGTTTCGATATTAGCTTCTCGATATATTTATAATAACGTAAATCATATGATGCAAGCGTTGCCATTTTTCAATAAATAAATGAAAACATAAAATAAAATTGCTGATTATCTTGGTACGATTTCGTTTCTAAAATAATTGAATAATTTAAAAAAATAAAAAAAAACTTTAATTTTGAAGTAAATTAGAAGAATTGTCCCGAGTTGGTAGTCACTATCTGATTACATACATATACGATTGTGATCAGAACTTCATATTACATTTACAAGAGGACGGTAACTGTTACGAACAATAACATAAAGTGTGCCACCGATTATTGATTTATACGACAAGAAAGTCCTTGTATGAACAGTTTTAAGCAACGTAGGAAGTAGTCAAGTGGATTGCCAAGTGTGAAGTATTATGTGGTCGATGTATTGGAGCAATAAAATATTAACGATATTGATAAATAAAATACTAGGCTTAAATGAAAATGTAATATTAAATATGTTGCGGTTTTAAGAATGTAATAATAATGGTCTACAATTCGGATTTTATTATCAAAACAATTTATTTAAAACAATTAACGTGTTAACAAATTTTTTATTTAATAGTGTTAGTTATCGTTGAAAAATCGCATTTGTATATTTCTCTAGTTGGCGTTAATTTAAAGCATCCATAACTATTTTATTTTACTACCGACAAGGAAATGTCCTACATCGTTTTAGCACTTTCAAGCAGAAATATGTGCACATATCGGAATACATATATTAACATAGAATTTGTAGTAATGAAAAAAAATATTCTCTTTACCGTTTTCCCAACATAACCGGAACGGATCCGGATGTATTTATATAGGAAGTGTCGGGAAAGTTTTATGCAACTACACAAATGAAAAACAAAACAATTCAATTTTAAAATGAGCTGCATTTGTTCACAATTATAGTAAATACTTGGCTGCTTTAATACTAATCAAGACAAGTATGTTATGCTGGTTGATTAATTACGTGGGTACTTGAATTGTGACCATAGGACACCAGCTTTGGTAGGAAAAGGACACATCTTCTTTAGCATATCGTTGTGTATTTCGATAGTTTGTTAGAACTCACTATCATTGATCACAATCAAATCAAATGTCTAGGTAATAAGGAGGGAGCCTCAACATCATCACTACAGAAACCGCTGGAAGCATAACTCTTGCCTTAACAGCATAATGGTGACAAAAAAGTAAGTAGAACTATTTATATAAATATTTATTTATAAAAACATTTGTGTTTCAAAAGTTCTTAAGAGTACGAATAAATAAGCTTTTCTTGAATATACTTGCGCGACTATGCACATATAGTACTTACACGCACCTGTATACGTGCATAGCTATTTATATAAATACCATTAGCAGCGTGTGATTGTTGTTAGCAAGCCCATACAAAAGTACACATCAATGTTAAAACGACAACGACACTCACATTCACCGTCACTAGCAAGTTTGATTTGCGGTCATATTGTCAGTTAGAGCGGCTCGAACCACTTGGAGTTGTCTTCAGTTTGTGGTAGTTTCGCTTCGCGAGTGGTTGAGCCAGTTGAAAAGTAGTGACATACCTGGTGTACATATAAACTTAACATTGGCAAGTGCGTAACCTAATAAAGTTGATTTGTATTTATTTATTTTTTATTTTTATGGAAGTTGTGTACTAAATTAAATGTTAAAAGTGCAAAAGTGATACAAGTGTGAGCAAATATCTCTAACTATTTGTGCTTAATAAAAAAAAAAAAAAAAAATTAAAGAAAAACAAATGTCTCTTATTATGTGCTAAAAATATGTAGTTAAAAGTATTTTGGTTTTAAATTTTTTTTCTTAAAATTCTTGCACGTAGCAAAGCTTTACCACGCCCTCGGTGCTTAGTTATGCAAAGTGTGTATTAGGGTCATTTGCGATTTTAATTGAATTTTAAAGACATTAGTTGATCTGGACAGACATACATACATATGTACATATGTATTTGAGTGAGTGAGTTTGTAAGCGGTGACGTCACACTGTCTGTCTGCTCCAGTGGTAATCCCAGAATATCAGAACTAGCCTATATAAATTAGTCAAAAGATTAATCCAATGTACTTTACCTTTAAGTTAAAGCAAGCTCAGTTGGGTGAATTTCATATACGTATATGTATGTATGTATACACATTTGAAGTATGTACATAAGTTTGTTGAAAAAACTGGTTTAAAACTCTTTCTCACTTCTCGAAGTCAGCAACATCAACAAACTTTGTGACAACAGCATGCGATCTCGACTTGTCGGAGAGTTTTTAATACTCTCACTCCCTTTGTAGCATATAGACAGGCCGTTACAGTGATCGCCCATTGCAAGCATTGTTTAAGTATTCTTTGCGTTTTACTTGAAAACTGAGCTTAACTTGCAAGAGCATAATTTTGCATTAGTGTAATATAACTTAAAAATAAACAATCTAGTTTAGGAAATTTATAGACAAGTGCAATTTTTACCAGTTTTTATTAAAACGACTATGTACTACAGTTCAAATCAAATTTATCATTATCAAATTTTATAGAAATTGCAAACAAAACCTTCCCAACGAAACTGTCAAAGGATTTTGCTACCGCTGAATTTATATTATACAATTGTTTTATAAATAAAGAATTTGCATCAAAAGTGGTCAGAGGTTTTCATGCAAAAACTTTATTTTAGTGTTTCTGGCAAACTTAATAGACTTGTTCAGGGAAGAAATTATGCATAATTCATAAAAATTTTATTTCTTGCCTACTTGTTTAATTATGATTCTTTCATAAACTTTATATTCATTAATTATTTGTTTAATCGGGCAACCACTGTAGCTGAGGGCATGCACCATATACTTGAGTTTCGAGGCGTGTATCAACAACATCTTGTACGTAATTCGCAATTTGGCGGTAATGACAAAGAAAAAATTGCACAATACATACACACATATGTATGTATATACATTGTACACCTGAATAACAAGTATGTGAAACACCTGTTAAATATTTCGTTTTACATTCAAATGAACTGCTACTTTTTAGCACACAAATATTTTTGTACAATATTGTACTCACAAATAACATTTGTATATATATGTATGTAAGTAAAAAACATATGTATGTACGTTTAATTGCATGAAACATCATTTCATTGTATGCATTAGACGGTTAATGCTTCCTTAACCAATATAATGTTCAACACATATGTACATATGTTTTGTTGCATTTAAAAATCTGCAGGCGGTAGTCACACTTTTTTCGAAAATCACGAGAGTGTAAAGATGTGATCGCATATTTTCTTTGAAGCATTCGTAAACTGTGCTCGTGTGTGTTGTTGTTGTTGTACCGGTTATCAGACTGAATCTCAGTTGGCTGTTTAGTTTTTTTATAAGCAATGTAGTTTTGACAATAATGCGACAAGAATCAATTTCTTACACGTGTTTGTTTGACATCGGACAGCGGTGGGTCAGCCGTATGCGTGTGGTACGGACGCGGTTTATATGCAGACAGGAACTGTTATTCATGAAATGTTATCTACAAATTATATGTTTAATGCTACAACAAGAATAATAAGAGACACTACATACAATTTTGGACAATCTTTTTGTCACTTTTCTATTGTTTTTATTAGTTTTTATGATATTACCACAGCAAAACTAACAAAAAACATCCCTTTTTTAATCATACCATGTTGTTGTATTCTATTTTAGTGTATTTACTTAGGGCGTGATATAATCTCATAAAGTTATAAGTTATAACGAACAGAAAACAAAGCGTTGAGAATTGTAATTGTGCAAATTCATTTTTATATGTAATACAACAAGAATTTGTTTAAACAAATGTAAAATTTATGATTTTGTGAAAATTTATGATTTTTATGATGCGTGATGACAAGTTGTGTGTTCCCAAGCTGTATTGATTATTTTTATGATACGGATATTATACAACAGCAACTCTACCCAAAAACATACATTTTTTTGAATCATGTTAGTTGCTGTTAGGTTTTTTAGTATATTATCTGATTTGATTAGTTTTATGATGTTACAACAACAGCAATCAAACTTTTTTTTTTTGTTGTAGCGGCAGAAAACATTTACGACATAAATTTGAAGAATGTTGCTTAGTTGACAGGCGTTGGCCGGGTCTATTCTGGTTATGTAGATCCGAACGTAGGTTTGCTGTTATTGTCATTTTTACTGTACATTCTAGTATATTTATTGTTTCAATAAATTTTTAACAACAACACCAACTAAAAGCATATATTTTTCATATAATCTCGTTGTTGTTGTTAGTTTTTTTTTTATAATAAATAATAAAATGTGTACTGTTGTTGTTGGTATTTCGTTTAATATCATTATTATTGTTGTTATTATTCTTATTATTTTTATTCACCTATTATTCAAACTCGAACCACTGCATATATGCATTATATATGAGTAAATCATAAATCCATGCCATAATTTAAATAAGTTTCGCCCTTCACATAAATAATTTTACCTCAATTAGTTTACTTTGCTTAAATGTGTCTTAAAAGTAGTTAACAAATGTAGCAATTACTTCACCCCATTCAATAAAATATGATAATCGATAAATGTAAGTAATTAACCGTTTACTCGCCCCAGCTTAGTGTCCGAAGTAGTTGAAGTTCAAAACGAAAGCGAAAGTCAAACGCTTTCAAAGTTTGTAAATATGGCAGTTATCTTTATCTGTCTGTATGTAGGCGCATTCCATTTACATATGTATTTTAGTGTATGTATATATTTTTATATACTGGTTTTGCCAGCAACACTTTCATTGACTCATATACCACTTGGAAAACAACAAATTCTGCTGCAGTGTGGTGCTTAAAAACTCGTTTCAATGCGAAGATCAATTCTCGATGCTCTTTGTAAACCACA